AGGCGGTGCAAGGGATTTTGTATACTCCTTGGTTTTCTAACTTGATTTTGTCTTTAGGGTTTCTCAGGATGGTGGATATTTTTCTGTTTGTGCAGAATGCTGTTTTAATGTTGTGTTTTTGGAGGATCTTGCTGATTTTGTCTGTAGTGCCTTTTATATATGGGAGGAGGGTTTTGCCGTTCTCTTGTTCTCTGTCTTGGATTTTAGTTGGGGTTTCTTTAGGTGGGTAATCTTCTTTCTTTGGAATCCATTGGCTGTTAGTACGTTAGTGAGAGTGTGTAGTTCAGTTTTTAGGTGTTGTTCGTCGGCTAAGCACTTGGTTCTGGAGATTAGTGTCTCGGCTACAGAACTGATCTGTGCTGGGTGGTGGTGTGAGAGTGTGTGTAGATAGTGGTTTGTATGTGTTTTCTTCTGGTAGATGGTGTGTCCTAGGGAGCCATTGGATTTTTTGTATACTAAGACATCTAGGAAGGGAAGTTGATTGTTAGCTTCTGTTTCCATGGTGAATTGTATTTTGGGGTGTAGGCTGTTGAGGTGTGTGAGGAAGTTGTTCAGTTTTTCTTTCCTGTGCGGCCAGACTATGAATGTGTCACCTACGTATCTGAGCCAGAGTTTGGGTTTGTGATCATATTTTTCTAGAGCTTGTGTTTCAAAGTGTTCCATGTAGAGGTTTGCAATGACAGGTGAGAGGGGTGATCCCATGGGCACTCCTTCTATTTGTTTGTATTTTTGTCCATTGTAGGTGAAGTATGTATTGGATAGGAAGTGGTTGGTCAGATCTAGGATTTGCTTGCGGGGGTTGTATTTGTTTTGGATGGCTGTTTTGGATGTTTTCTGAGGTTCTGAAGTTATTTGTATGTGGATCTTTGGTTATTCAGGTTTTCTCCCACGTAAAATTGGACGTATGCACTGCCATACAGTATGCACCACCACACTTCCACATAGAAAGCAGACTCACACCCACACAGAAGATGAGACATGACCACGGACCAGAAGCTGCACCGCAGCTGCATCACTACTCGCTTCAAACCCCTCTGACCCATACATGAAGTGAACTGATGCCCACCATGAAGATGCGGCAAGACCATGAACGTGAAGCCAAACAGCAGGATCACAGCTCACCAGCTCAAATCCCCCAGCAACTAAGACTAACCTGAGCACAACCAAGCCCCCACCTGAACAGAACACACCCCCAGCCAATCAGAGCACAACCAGCCCCCCAGCCAATCAGAACACAGCCAAGCCCCCACCCAATAAAGTCACACCTCCACTGGCAATTAAAAGGAAGAAGCAGCTGCAAGCTCACATTACTCTGAGAAGCACAGAGCCGAAGACACAAGCCTGAAGTTGATGAATGAGATTTCATCGAAACATTGCCTAAATACGTCCAATTTTACGCGGGAGAAAGCCCGAATAGCCAAAGATCCACTCCACATACTAATACCTGCGAGAACCTCAGAATATATATATATATATATATATATATATATATGCCTTGTTTCTCCAACAATACGGCCTCCACTAATAGGAAGAACCAGCATGATTTCTCGGCATGAGGTGAAATTAAGCCCCACCCCCAAAATTTAGGCCTATTTAAACCAGGCGTTTCCCCGCCATTTCTCACATTGTTTGTTAGAACTACACTAGGTGAAGAGAAATGGGGGAAAGGGGCGGGGGTGGGGAGAAAACTTGCCTTTAGGAGTGCCCTGCAGGTAGCCTAGGCTAGAATACCCCGATCTACTTCCAATAGAACATCAGCCGATAGAAGCTCCCCGAAGGCAGAGTCACCAGACGCTTCGATTGGCCAGCAGCCCACATTCCCCTCACCACGAGGCCACTTCTATTGGCCAACAAAAGCTCCCCAAAGGCAGAGTTCCCAGCTGCTTCGGGGCGAGGCATGGCTGCCCGTGTCCCCTCGTCATTAGGCAGTGTCTTTTGGGCAATGGAAGCTCCCCAAAGGCAGTCAACAGCCACTTCAATCAGCCGGTAGAAGCGGCCTCGTGGCAAGGGGAGTGTGTGCGTGTGCTCGCCCCGAGGCCGATTGAAGTGGCTGGTGACTTCCCTTGGGGAGAACATATATTGTTCTTCCCAGGTACTGATGAAGGTTTTTCATCTAATAAAGATTAACTACATTAGTTTGAATATGATATGCATATAAAATATTAACTATCTATCTATTTATCTATACAGCTGTAGCACATATCAAAGGAATACAACTTTTTCCACAGCAAGTGTCTCATTTGACTTTTGAATGTATGGCCGAAGCTAAACTCTTAAAGGTAGCGTGTGGAGTCAATCTCAGCTCCCACATTTGACTGGAATTAATTAACATTTACACTTTAATTAAAATTAAATTAAATTACTTCCCAGTCTTACATATAGTAATTTTCTCTTCTACCACATTAACAACTGCATGGTTTTTTTTTTACAAATTTGGAAATGTCTTTGAGAACTTCACCCAGGATTTGGGGCTACATCTGGCTTGGTGCTTCATGTTTTGTTTACTTGCTAAATATTACTGTTAAAAATCTGTCATAAAAGTACTTTTTCAATGGCAATTTCATAATAAAAAATCTTCTCCATGAAAAGAAGTCCAATAATCTTATGGAAAAGTTTTTAAATTATTTTTGAGATCATTTTACTGTGTGCTGTTAGACTGACAGTAAGTGGCTTATTAAGCTGTAATGTGCTATAACCAAGAGCCTACTTTAGAAAGCAATATATGCACCAGACAATTAAATACTGTGAATTTAGGATATCTATTTTTAAAGTCATTACTATTTAAAAGAGTAAAGATATGTGGGGATAATTTTAGGGGTGTCGGAAGAAAATATTGCTTGAGAAAGCAATAGATAAGAGATGGCCTAGCCCACAGCTGTATAATGGGCAAAGCAAGACACACAGAAAAAAAAAAGTTCCTAATTTCACAAGCTGTAATAAGAAAATGGGAAATTTGTACATGCAAATTTCTGTTAATGTAGCCTTTAATAGTAGAGATAGAATTAGCTCATTTGGTCATGTTTTCTGTCTGGTCTATCTGACAAAGGTTGACAAAAAAATTAATTTAATTGTAGTAGGCAAGATACAGGTATTCAATTCCTTCACCATAATGGCTTTTGATATAAAGGTCTAGAAGGCTAGTTCTTTATAACTTGCCTCAATCCTCCCACCCTTTTTCAGGGGATCCTCCTGCTCTTCTTAATAGATGATAAAGAAATACAGGACATGTGTTATTTAAAAATTAAATTTATTTTCCCCTGAATTTCACTGGGTGTATATTATTGGTCTACACACCAATAAGAACTTACATTTTTATTTGTTCATTTATTGAAATTATATTGCCGCTTATTCACCCATGGTGATTCAAGGCGACTTACAGAATATAAAACCAATAATGCTTGCATATATATTAAATCAGGACTGTCAAACTCGCAGCCTGCGAGCCAGTTGTGTCATGTGCTGGCCATACCCATGCCCAATTTAGCACAGGTAAAAAAACTCACAATACCTCATGTGAGGACGTGAGTCATCCAACCTAATCACAGAACACTCTTCATAAGAGTTCCATCTCCATCAGCTTCTAGAAAACTAGAAAAAGCTGATTTAGCTTCAAGTAGACTACTATTCCAGAAAAGTAGAAAAACAGCACCAGTAGGCATCAGCCTCCCTTCCTGAAGGTTTTCCTGAGATGAATCTACTGATAGGAATATTTCTGATAGGAAAAGACAGACTTATAGGTACCAAGGTGCATAGTTATAAAGGGTTTTGTAGATTAAAACCAACACATTGAATTGCAGCTAGAAATCTACTTGTGAGTTAATGCAGGACCATGACACAGTTATAATGTGCTTATGGAAATAAATGTGAAACCTGGGATTCTTCTACATTTGAATAAAGAGCCTATCTCAAGTTGTCTTAGAGGAGCTGATAACTAGAGCATATTGATAGGAACTTTATTAAAAGTGGAAATGTCACATTTTGTGAAATGATAGAGTTGCCCATATAAAGAAAATGGCTTATGCAAAAGAATTTCAATTGATTTCCAAACCAATTAATCTTGATTTAACTGAAGAATCAGAAACCATAAAATTCAGACATAGATTATATATGTTTATGAGGAATATACAGTATACAGTATATACTGCGTATTTGCTACATATACATTTACTTTATATTGTTATTGGCTATCTTGGCATATGTTAATGATTTCAGAGCAAAATCAAGTAAGTCAGGAAAGAAACAACAGTAAATTAGAATTGGCCAGTTTCCTCCTTCGAGACTAATCTACAGAGAAATATATACCAGTGGCAGATGGAAGTATGTTGAATTCCAACTCCACCTCCCCAAAAATACTTATAGAAACCTCAATCTTTTTTGTTTTTATGCATTCCCACTGCTTACTTAATTAGTTACTATTCCAGGCTAAATAGAATAGTATGTATCTGAACAGAAGGACAGAATGCAGAGATGTAAATAGCCAATTATCAATCAATGGACACTTTAAAAGTTAAAGGGAAATCAATGTCTCCTCCTCAAAGAGAAGTAATGCAAGGGGATAATGTTGAATTATTTAGAAACTGTCAGTTATTTATAGGACTATTATTTCATTCAGTAAGTATAAATCAAATTAAATCAAATTTCCTTTAATTGTAATCTTCTAGTGTCCAATTTTTAAAATTTATATGATTTTTTAAAAAACTGTTAAAAACAAAAGTGTTTTCCCATGGACAACAAGGGAAAATATCACTTCAAATTTATCCCTTAGTACATTTGTAACTTTCTAAAAAACAAAGTTTTTACTACCCCTTTGCTATTTATTCTCCATTCTTTCTAAGCTTGTAGCTAACATTTTCTTTTGCTAAGGATTGAAACTCCCCCAATGTGTCAAGCTTATTGATCTAAAGTTGTCTAATAGCTGAAAAACAGTTAACAGGCAGTTTCTGAAAGAGATTATAAAACTGAATTCTAATATTACCAATTATATAATATTTTCTTTTCAGGTCCTCCTGGTAAACGAGGTAAGCGAGGAAGAAGAGGAGAGACTGGTAAGTTTTTAAACATAAAGTAATGCATTTTCTTTGGATAATATACAAATATTACTTCTGGTCTATTTTCTAATATATTAAGTTAATGATGTGTATTGGCTGCCTTTGTTAAAACTATACTCAATGAGAGATGAGAGATTATTAGAGGACATAAAAGGGGTAACAACACAGGACCTCCCTGAACAACTTCTGCCCTATAGATAATTGAGGCTATAGCTTTTCAATCTTTTGCCACTTGCCGAGGTAACCGATCTGTTCGAGCATGAAATTTCCAAGTGCCTGGAAAGGAATCTGTCAACTTGCCATGGCCAACTTGCCATGAAACAACTTGCTGCAGGACAAGAGTTACACTAATATCAAAAGGAAGGAAGAATGCAAAAGGAGGGATAAAATGAAATGTGAATGACAAAAATTAAAATATTTTTAAAAATATTTTAAATAATTGAATTGTTGAATTGTTCTGTGGCGAGTTGTCCCATGGCCAGTTGGCCATGGCAAAATGGCCATGGTGAATAGGCAGCAACAAGTTGATCACTGTGAGTTGGCCACAGCAAGTTCCATTTTGTCTGGAAAGCACATATTCCATTTTTTTTTAAGAGACAAGATTTCCTTGGGTGCAGAAATGGTGTCCTATTAGTGAGCAGCCTCTTTTGCACAAGGAATGATATTGCATGCATGAAGTATGACCATGCAAGAATTAAAGAAAAAAATCAGCATATTTTTCTTGCATAAAGAGTATTGCCCACATTGGCATACTTTGGTGATTTGGTGCATTGCTGTGTGCATTCGTTTATTTATTTGCATCCCACCATTATTATTTCTGAAAATAACTCACAGCATCCCCATGGTTACATGATCAAAATTGATGCAATTGGCCATGTATTTATGATTGCTTCATTGTCTTGGGGCCCTGTAATCACCATTTGCAATCTGGAATTCAACCGGTGTGACAACCGGTTTGGCGCACACCAAATTGTGCTTTGCGCACACGCGCAGCATTTAGAATCCACCCATTTTGGGCTCTAAAAATTACCTTCTGCTGCAGCCCTGATGAATGAAACAGCTGAAGCATGGCAATCCGCTGTGCTGCATGAATTAGCTGTGCTGCAAAATACAGAAATAAAGGACACACTAGGGCAGGAGCCAACTAATCACCAGAACTACCGGTTCACTTGAACCGGTCCAGACCAGATGAATCCCACCTCTGTCCAATTGTGGTCATAAGTTGAGGACTCCCTGTATATCAATGAATGAATTAAAGTCTGTGATTGAATGTTCTGAGAATGGCATTGTCATGCTCCTGAAAAAAAATATTTCAGGAGAAAGGAAAATTCAGCTTATGCTAATTTACTTCTTAGTTTTATTTGCATACAGTGCTATGTAGTTTAATACTAAGAGGATCAGCTGAGTCTGCTGCATGACACAGGATCACTGTGATTCTGTTGGGATTAACCTTATCTTGATGTTTCAATAAATTAACTAGATAACTTTAAAAAACCTTTCAAAACAACATAAAATGTATAAAACACAGAAAATTAATTTATTCCTTACTGTTGGACCAAAGGTGAAAAGAACAGAAAAACATCATGCTTGATGTATCACATATGAATCAAAGTTTCGGGATTTTAATAAGGGATTTCACTAAGATGTCTTATGTGCTTAATGATATGACATTAATAAAGGGAACTAAATTGTTTTCTCTTAGGAAAAAGATCCTGTTTATTAAATATATCTTTCGATTAAAACAATTAAAATCAAGAAATTACTTTATCTGATTAGCATCACGTTATTAGCAAAAGTCTGCTATATTTAAATAATTTTCAATATCAGCTGTTCCAAATACCTTTTTGCAACCTGAAGTCAAGAGAAAAAAGAAAAACAAATGAAGTCATTCATCTGATATCACTTTTAATAAAGCTAAAGTAAATATTTGATGTTGTTTTACAGTCTCAAGAAGGGTGTGTAAAAAATTAGGAAAATGTGGCAATGTTTCTTCACAAAATGTGATATTTTAAGAGGGATCTTGCACAAGAGAAATTAAAAAGGATAGGGCATTTAAGAAGAATTGTTTGGTTCTGCGATTAGTGAACTTCTCCAACTTGGCAAAAGTAGATGGCAAAAATATAGATCCAACCAATTCTATTCTAAAATTAAATGCTATGGGGAGAAATTAATATGAGTTTACTTGGAGATGGATGGTAGGTGAATGTTAACTGAGAAGAATATAAGTATTAAGAATATGCCACTTCAAAATGAGTTAAAGTGATTTAGACCTTGACTGATTTTTTTTTTCAGCCCTGAAAGTAGGCTGCAGCTGCTTTAAGGAATTAATTCATTAATATTAATGTATCTGTTAAAGCAGCTATACTGTTTTAATGAATAATGGAAAGGGACTACAGTTATATAAAATCTGAAGCACTATTTTCAATGCTATACTGATGCTTTAAAGTAATTTTAATAAGTAACAGTGATCTTGTTTGACTAAGAATAATACTAATCTTCAAACAATGCTAGTGTTTTGAAAACTCATGTGTCTATATGTATTTCTTCTTTTCTTCTGTTTTCTTTTCACAGGACCTCCTGTAAGTACAACTGTTGTACTATTGGATCTTCTGTTTATCAAGATTAGGAAAAAGGTGTTTTCAATAATGGGTAAAAGTGAGAAATATGTTAAAAGTGCCAATTTCTGTTCAAAAAGCAGTCAGTTTTATTATTAGCAATTTTAAACTTGAATTTTGGGGGCAAGGGGAAAAACAGTATTTTTAAATTTAATTTCAAAACTCCTGTGCATAAATATTTAATATAGTATGCTAGACAGAGCAATCAATATTTTAATTTTATTTTATAACAGCATATTATTATAATGTTTTGCCTCAATTTATTAAAAAAAATCAATGGAAATGCTTAGCTGAAGCCTCATCCAGCCAAACGTCTGCATGGTGGTTTAATTTTTCTGACTGAAAGATGTAACTGTATATACTAATCAGAATGTGCTAAGTTTGTATATTAAGTAAAAATGGCATATTGATCCTTTAACCTAGAAAAGGAATTGTATTTTAGTATTTAGTATTTATTTGATTTGTCAATCTCTTACAAGATACAGGTATCAGAATAAACATAGTTTTGAATACATGAGATAGATACTTAGAAGAAAAATAAAAAGAAACAATCGGACAGGGACGGGAGGCATGATTGGTGCGCTTATGCACACCCCCTCTAGGCCACTTAGGAAATTGTAGCCAGTCGAAGGTTAAAGTTTTGGGGGTTTGGGGAAGAAACCACAAAGTCAGGTAGAGTATTCCAAACATTGACCACTCTGTTGCTGAAGTCGTATTTTCTGCAGTCAAGTTTGGTGCTGTTAACCTTGAGTTTGTATCTATTGTGCGCTCTTGTATTGTTATGATTGAAGCTGAAGTATTCATTTGCAGGTAGGACATTGCAATTTATGATTTTATATACAGTACTATATTTAGATCGGACCAGAAGCAGCGTAGTTCCAGGTTTTCTAGGTCTAAAGTTTCAAGTCTGGTGGCATAAGGTATTCTGAAATGAGTAGAGGAGTGGAGAACTTTTCTTGTGAAATATTTCTGGACTTTTTCAATTGTGTTAATATCAGATACATGATATGGGTTCCAGACTGATGAGCTGTATTCAAGTATAGGTCTAGCAAATGTTTTGTATGCTCTAGTTAGTAGTGTGATATTACCAGAGAAGAAGCTACGTAGGATTAGATTAACAACTCTTAATGCTTTTTTAGCTATGTGGTTACAGTGGGCTCTTGCACTTAGATCATTAGAGATGAGTACTCCAAAGTCCTTGACAGAGTTTGGATCTCAACAAGGTCTTGACTATTTAGCTTGTATTTTATTTTCTGAATTTTTTCTGTCAATATGTAAGACAGAGCATTTATTTGTTGAGATTTGAAGTTGCCATTTGATTGACCATTCTGATACACAGTCAAGGTCTTTTTGAGGGTAGCAGTATTGTCTGTGGTGTTGAATAGCTTTACATCATCAATGAAGAGAACGCAGTTGCTCTTAATATGATCACATATGTCATTTATGTAGAGTATGAAGAGAGTTGCTCCTAAAACACTGCCTTGAGGGGACACCACTGTTGACAGGTACAGAATTTGATAGGACGCTCCCAATTTTGACCATTTGTTGTCTGTTTGACAGGAATGCTTCTATCCAGTTATGCAGTTGTCCAGAGATACCATAAGATTTTAGTTTTAAGAGTAGTTTGTCATGTACCACTAAATCAAAGTCTTTACAGAAGTCTATGTAGATTGCGTCTATTGCTTTGCCCTGATCGAGTTGTGTAGTCCATATGTTTTTGCAGTGTAAGAATTGCAGATTTCAGGGTAGTTTTTTCTGAAACCAAATTGTTTATTAGAGAGTAGGTTGTTTGTCTCTAAGTGGAGGATGATGGATTGGTTAATAATTGATTCCATGACTTTACAGGTGATGCAGCATAAAGAGATTGGTCTGTAATTTTCAATTAGGCTGGGGTCTCCTTTTTTGAAGATGGGAATGACCGTGGCCTGTGACCATAGTTTTGGCAAGGAGCTGGTCCTGAAAGATTATGCTTAGAGGTTCTGTTATGGCAGTGGATAGCTTTTTTAAGAAGTAGACACATATTCCGTCCGGTCCAATAGATAGAAATGGTTTTAGATTGCACAGTGCTTTTTCAACAATGTCTTCTGTAAAATCGATATGTATTAGATCATTGTAGTTGTCTGTGGTTCGACTGGGCTTGATCCATTGCAGTTTACAAATACTGAGCCAAAGAATGTGTTAAAGAGGTTGGCTTTGATGATGTCGTTGTTGCAGTCTTTGCCATTAGGTCCTTTCAGAGGTGGGATGGACCTTGAGTCTTTTAGTTTGTTGTTTACAAAATTGTAGAACGCACGAGTGGAATTTGTGCATAGAAGATTTTCCTCTTGTTTAATGTGATAATTAGTGCATTCAGTTTTTATCTGGTGGCATAAATTTTTGTATCAGCTTTTGAAGTTGGCAACGTGAACAGATTTTTTTTTTTGCCAAAGTGATTTCTTTTTGGATTGAAGTTTCCTTATTGTTATGGGTAATCTGTTTTTCCTGGTTTTGGGAGTTGTTATTGGTACATATAGTTTGATGGCTCTTTTGATTTATAGTAAGAATATGTTGTAATGGTCTTCATCAGTATTGCATCCAGTGAATAGAAATTGCCAATCAAGGGAAGAGAGATAATTGATATAAGATCATAGTTGCCTTTTTTGAAGTTATAATTGGGGATTTTGTCATTGTGATGATTTTTGTGTGGATGTATGTTGAGACAAAAGTCAATCATGTTGTGGTCACTGTTGGAAAAGGGTTCTTTAATTTGTATTTTGTAAATTGAATTCAAACTATTGCAGAAGATGAGATCAAGGCAGTTGTTAAGTCTAGTATTGTTGGTTACTAGTTGTTCCAGTCCCAGATTTGTTACAGCATTGTAGAAGGTTACATGTATGGGTTCAGTTGTACATTCGTTTAGGGACCAGTTAATATGAGGTAGATTGAAGTCACCAAGAAAGATAAAAGCATGTGGGCAGGATGCTGCCCATGTTAGTAGTGTATTTAGCTTGTTTACATGTTCGATGTCATAATCAGGGGCTCTGGAACATAGTAAGAATTGTTGCAATTGTTGCAATGGTGCCAGGAATCAGTTTCATAATATCTTTCATTACAATGTACTCTTTGTATCATCTATCTATTTCATTCCTTTTTCAGACTGAATCAATAGTAAATCTATAAAAAGTAGTTTCTCATCTTCTACAGCTTTTAACTGTACAATAAAATCTTAATTTAGGTGACCAATTGTGGGGTGTCTGCAAATTCTGAATTCATGTTATTTGTACATCATTGACTGTACTTAACAAACAAACCATAGATTTAAAGACCATTAGTCCATTAAGAAGAAATCAAGATTTAAAGATCATTGGTCCATTAAATAGAGATGAAACCCAAAATCCATTTCCTGATTGTTTTACTAACAAGCAGAAATTACATATAACCTACTGCTAAATTTTGGCTGGTATTACCAAGTAAAATCTTTGTCTTTTTTAATTGTTTTTTTCATTTAGTAAACTTTTTGTTATATTTTGCTGAACATTTTTATTTCATTTAGCAGATCTGTACATAGAATCATGCAAGTAAGCCTAATTTCATACAGCAACGTATGTCTTGGAGACAAAATAGCCATTGTATGAATTCTGTTTATTGAGCTTAAACATTCTTAAAAACATCATAATTTAAAACTTCATTTAAAGGAAATTAATCTTGCATATCACTTTTCTTTACTCAAACATTATTTGTTGGGAATGTATATCTGTTATTTCTCCAGCAAGCTTCTATTCTAATAGACTTAAACTTTACTAGTAATTAACAGTTTTTTAAAAAATAAAGCTTGCTAGAACTGCATTTTTCTAAGTCGTACTAGAGGTGAAATTGAGTTTGTCTACTGCTATAAAAACAAGGTTCTTGTAGCACCTTCTAGACTAATGATTTATAATTGCATACTTTTGTTGTCTACAATCTACTTCCTCCGTGGTCTACAAAGTTAATGACATCATAATGTGAAGTCTTTTAGGTCCCAGAAGATAGTTTGTTAACTTTTAATAATATGCATAATAGACTTCCAAAATTTACTTTAGACTCTGTGTAAATATTTCTTCTTCATGCTAATTATTTAAATATCCCTACATTAGTGCACACACCTAAGAAAAGATGGCACTACATTAAGAGTGTCATTAACTATAAGATTCCTTAACTAAGTGGCATCTTTTTAATCAGGGTTATGTTCAAGCCTGAAAAATGTCAGACTTCATTATAGCAAAGAAGGACTTCCATCAATTATAAAATAATGTATTCTGGATAGGATGATTTACTAATCTGAAATTAAAACATTCTTTTGAAATACTATTTCCATTCATATATAAATACATTATACCAGCACATAGCAGAGCATAAATATAAATGGCCATGTTAGTTCAATATTTGATTTCTAATTGTGGTCAACTTTTATACCTTTGGGTACTTATAAGCATATGATAGAGTTAGAATTCATTCTTGCTCCTGCAATCTATAGATATCCATGGATGTTGCCATTCTTTTATCTAGAACGTATATTTTTTTAAAAAGAATAATTTTAAAAAAGAATAATAAATCTCTGATTTAACTTTAAAAAATCTAGAAAGCCCAGAATATAATATGGAAATACAGATGCTTGGCAGTAGACTCATATTTATGACCTTTGTTGTGTCATGTGATCACCTCTTATGTCCTTCTGACAAGCAGAGTCAATGGGAAAACCAGATTCTTTAAACAATCAGGTTGCTAACCCATCAACTGCATGTGATTCACTTAACAACTGTGGCAAGAAAAGATATAATAGTATCTCATTTACAACAAAAATGTTGGACCCAATTGTGGTTGTAAGTTGAGGACTATCTGTATTCCCTCCATCTGAAATAAAAAAGATAATAAGAGCAACTAAGAATAACAGAAATCACAGAAAATGTGCCTGCCTGTGCTGTATTGGTTCAAATCAGCAGGTCTAT